CCATCGTTCCCCACCATCTCTGCGATCAACGCCCTCTCCCTCTGGGCCTCGATGGAAACGATGCTTTGGAAGTCCTTGTGCTGTTCCAAGATAGCGTTTATCAAGCCCCTCCGGTAGGTCCGCTTTTTCCGCCGCATGTGCTGTCGCATTTGTCTGCAGATCGCCCGTCTGCCAATGGCGTCGTGTTTCGGGGCGCTGTTTCGCTATTGTATCAATTGTGCTACGACGTCGTCATGGTTATTTGGGGCGTCGTCTCCTGCCCGGGCCATCGCGGGCGACGGCGCTGTCTTCGCTGCATTGCCGCCCGCCCAAGTCGCGCACGAAACTTTCTCGATGTAGTCGCTGAGGCCCGCCGGGTCGGATGGCAGGAGTTCGCGTCGCAGTTCGGTGCCCAGTTGCTGCCGATGCGCGCCAGCGTCGCGCGCTTGTCGCTGCCCCATGGAGCGAGCGATCGAACGCGGGAAGCCGGCATGGCGCCTCGCGTCGTTCATCGCACGCACCTGGAGACGAAGCTGTAGCAGCACAGCCGCGCGGTCGGGACTGAGGTCCACGACGTTGCTGGACTCGGCGCTCCTGCATTGGGAAAGCAAGCGCCCGCCCACCAGGACGCAGTCACACTGTCGCGGCTTGCCCGCGGTGGTCGCGCAAGAGATCAGCTCGATTGGAGGCCCGCGGAACAATGAGCCCACGATTGCGAGCTGCTCTTTTGCAGCCCAATGTCGCAACCATTCTCCTCCGGAGTTCTCTTCGCCAAAACCGCACGGACCAACGCATCGAGAATCAATGCTATTTGGGTGATGTCCAAGGTTGGCGGCGCATCTGTCCTGAATGCACTGATGGTTGCGCGGTAGTCGGCGGTTGCCCGCGCGCAGTCGAAACCCCGCTCGGGCGTCGAAGTCGGCAACCAGAAGCGTTCGCACGCGTCGGGGGCGGGCCTCGCTGAGCACGGCGCTGATCGCGCCATGCACGTTCTGCATGCGCGCGCAGTTGTACCCGGCCTGGGGGAAGTACGCGGACAACAACCTAAATCGCAATCTCCCCGCCCGGATGGTCAGAATCGCAAGTCTGGCGCTGATGGCCTGGAACTCGGTGATATGCCTACCCCGCCGCTTGCGCGCGAGAGTCGCAACCCCATGGAGGCGACTATCATTGCTAGATCCCCAGCAGCATGCCCTTCCGGTGCAATCCACAGCTCCTGCTGCTTCATTCTCCAAGTTTCGCTGATCAAGATTGCGCCCCAGGGTGAGCCGCGCACTTCGCGCAGTAGCTCGTCGATGCTGTTTCCAATGACCTCGCGATTTTGTGGGGAATGGCGAGGTCGAGGACGCCGTCGCCGTCGCAACCCGCCACGCGCCGCGTCGAAGCCTGGAGGTCAGAGTGCTGAGTTGGCGGTGGCTGGAGGTCGACATGCGGAGGTGGGTGCGGCAATCGGACGCTGGAGGCCGGACGTCGGAATGCCGAACCTGTGGAAACACGACAGATGCGCCTGGAACGCAACGCAAACCCACCCACCGCCAACGAGGCCTGACGGACCAAACGTTGCTAACTGCAGCGCGCACCGAAGCCCAAGTGGCCAGCCACGCGCGGGATAGAGGGGGGAGGAAGAGACTCAGACGGGCATGGACTGCACAGGCCAGGTGTAAGCGGAGGTAGAGCGTTTCAAAAGCGAAATGCTGCACAGGCGACGGCAAGAGAAAAGCTTCGTTACGGGGGATCCACATGTATGCATCGGTCACCTCCTCCTTCTCCTCCTCCCCCTCCTCCTCCTTCTTCTCCTCCTCCTCCTCCTCCTGCTCTTCCTGATCCTCCTCATCCACGCTACGTGTCATTCGCCAGGTAGCGAGTAGGTTTCCTTGCGGTTCCTGTCTACGTACGTCGGCAGTGAGCGGGTATGTAAGAAACTGGGTGGGCTTAGACATCCTCGCAAGATGAATGCGACAGCGCCCGTGTACGCCTAGCGGCCCCCTCCCTGCGGTCCCAATATGCCACGCCTGCTACATCACGACGGCCACGCAACCCTGAACAAAAATAAACAATCAGGTCATGAAAGCCAGAGTTCCCGCTTGAGGCATCCCACAAACTGGGCGCCAATGGGTAAGTGTCCTGTCCGCCATTACATTGCAATGATCACACAACCCTGAAAAGAGGCACGACTACCTCTCAACAACCAGCGTTTCGCGTGAGATATCCCCACCATGTGGGCGCTGACGCGCATGTGTCCTGCCCCCTGGCGGCTAACCCTTGTAGTGTCCAAGTCCTGTCTACTACGTCGTCGCGGCGCCTACGCGGCCCTAAAAAGAGACGTGTTGACATTCCCAAAACAAACGATTCGAATGACATGTCCCCACAATCTGGGCGCGAACGCACCCGTGATGTACCCCCTGGCGCCTCCCCCCTGTGGCACCCAACAGTGATGACTGCTACACCGCGATTGCCACGGCCTGAAAATACATGTCTAACTTCCGAAAGCCACCTGTTGGCAGGGGACGTCCCGCAATCTGGGCGCCAACGGGCAAGTGTCCGATTCTCTGGCGCCCTCCCTCCCTCTCTGGGCTACCCAAGTATTCGCTTTCTTCGTGGCGGCCCTGAAAAAAAAACACGCCCACCTCAAAAAGCCAGCGTCTCGCGTGATATGACCCTGAATGCTAGGCGCCAACGGGCAAGTGTCCTAACCCGTGGTCGCTCCCCCTTGTAGCGCCCAAGAGCTATGGTTGCGACATCGCGAACACCACGCGGCCCCCACGCGGCCCTGAAAAAGACGCGCCTACATCCGCAAAACAAGCAAACCGCTGGAGACATCCCGACAAACTGGGCACGAACCGGTAAGTAACCTATCCCCTGGCGGCACCCGCTTATGTTGCCCAAGTTCTGCGCCTGTCGCATCGCGATGACTCTGATCGTGAGATGGAGAAGGAGGGAGGAAGAGGGAGTGAGTAGACGAAGGCGCGACACGGATAACAAGAATTCACGACGTAGAAGATGGGAATTAACATCCTCCACGAGATGTGCAACTACCTGCACAATGATTCATTATGACCGTCGGACCCTCGCTCCGCACGCGTTCGACGGAAACTGGCGGCAATCAAGCTTGCCCAATCTGCTGCTTCGAAATCTGATTTTCGTCAAACGTGCGTTTGATTCGCCCACGTCATCCAGCCCCCCATCTGAGCCAAAAAAACACCGGTTTCTGCTGAGACATCCTCACGATTCGCTTTTAAACTGGCCACGACGTGCAGGTGACGCTGTCGGAGTGCTGCCCGCGCCGAAGCGAGAGCGCCGTCTGGACGGACTTTCGGCCATTGTACGGAACTTCAGCCCGCATATCAGGCGAAACGGAGGAGGCCAGGCAAGAGGAAAGGAGGAGGAGGAGGAGGAGGAGGAGCGAGGGATGAGGACGCAGAGAAGGAGGAGAAGGGATGAGGGAGAAGGGACTGGAGAGGAGGGATGAGGGAGAGGGAGCAGGGAGCAGGGAACAGGGAGGCGGGCGGGAGGGAGGAGCGAGGAGGGAGCGGGGAGGAAGGAGGCGTTACGAGTTCGGACGGTGCCCACACGGCGATACATGCAGGGGATCATCGCTCCGCGAGCTAGAAAGGCATCCGCCTTCTGCACGCGGTACCTACGCTACGGCGACGAGTCCTAGGGACGGCTACACGATGCTTTCGAGACTACGCCGACATGAGACACAAACCATACCCTTTCTAACTGGAGCAGGGGGCAAGGCCACGGCTACGCCTCGCGCTTTGGGCCGACACAACCCTCCCTGGCGACTGGGGGCCTCTCCCTCAACTAAGCGGATTCGGCTCCCAAGACGGAGCCCAACTACAGCGAAAAAAGTGTGGAAAACTGCAACCAACGGCGCCTGTCACCGACGAGTTACGCAGAGACGTATGGGTGAAACGACGCGCAGCGGCCGCCTGAGTAGGCACCAAGTGAGCTGGACACGAGACGGCCGACAACCGAAGGAGCGGAAGACTTACGGGAAGCTCGGAGGTTGCAAAACGAGTTCCTAACTGGAGGTGTTCCCAGCTTTGGGCGCCATTTTGGAGCCCTGGGGCCCTCTGGATCTCGTGAGGGGGGCTCTGGGAGCCACCTGGGCCTCCGAGCAGAAGCTGGGGCCACCTTTAGCGACACCCGATAAGCGTCGTTGCAACTGATGTTACGCCCAGGGCGTAACATTGGTTGATTGGGGGTGACAGGCTCGCTGACGGCGGCGAGACCTGAGAAAAGACCTCCGACGCAGTTTTTGCTTCGCGACATGGGTACGGGACCAGTGTGCATCCCGAGCACTTTTTTGTCGGTCCCGGGACCTGGTGAGGCTCCCCCGGAGCCGAAAACACCCAAAACCCTCCCGTCGTTATCCGCTTCACGGCGAGAGGAGGCGTTTGTGGCCTTCCGGGCCAAAAGCAATCACAAATAGAAAGCTTGGGGAAGGGGGGCTCCATTGACCATTCCCCGCATCCCCCCCCCCTCCCCAAAGGCCCCACCCCCCGCCCCAGCCCGACCGCGGCGGCGGAATCGCGCGGCAGCGCGGCTGGACATCTCCCGTCGTGTTGTTGGCTCACGGCGCGAGGGGGCCCTGGGAGGGCAGGGCGAGAGACCGGCACGGCGCCCACGGGGCACTGGATAGGGCCAACCGCCACGGCAGCGAGACGCGGCCAGGCGTGCGGACGCAGTGGGCGGTGGGAAGTGGCCTTGTGTTGCCTCGCGCAGGGAGGAGGGAGGGGACAGAAGCAGGGAGAGGAAGGAGGGGGAGTGAGGGGAAGGGACGGGGAGGGAGGAAAGCGGAGGGGGAGGGAGGTCTGGGATCGAGGGGGGGGGAGGAGGGGAGGCTAAGTGAGGCTGTGAGAAGGAGAAGGGGGAGGGCAAAAAAGAGAGGAATCAAGGCGAGGGGGTGGGATGAAGGAGATGGAGGGGACGGAGGGAAAGATCGGGATACGCGCGATCTCGACGGTCGCCCCGCCGCCGTCGCACCCGCGCGCCCCGCGCCAGAAGGCCCCGACCATGCCGATCTTGGCCCGCGGGATCTCCACAAATTCTGACCCTGCGTTCTTGGTCTTCGTGCTCTCTATGATTTCCTGGCTGCCAAAGGGTGGGAGCGGGGGGGCAGGGAAGAGAAGACAAGAGGAGGAGGAGGAGGAGGAGGAGGAGGAGGAAGAGGAAAAAGAGGAGGGGGAAGGGATGGGAGGGGAGGGCAAAGAGGGGAGGGGGGACCGAGCTGCTTGCGATCTGGGACGCTAAATCGCTGAAGCCCCAACTGGGAACAGCACGCGAGCACAGGAACTGTGACTACGGGACGTCGTTGCCTGCACCCCTGCGGCTGGATCCCTCCTGGATGCACAATCGCCGTATAAAGTCAAAGCTTGGTGAGGCCAGGGTATCCCACATTGCATGTTCCTCCTCCTCCTCCTCCTCCTCGTCCTTTTCTTCTTCCTCCTCCGCCTCCTCCTCCTCTGTGGATTGTACGGGTGTGGCTGTATAGATACAGAGAGACACGAGGTACAAATAGGGGGACCCGTGCTAAAAGAGAGCAGTTTCTTTCCAATTACGGAGCGCGGGCGCGTCCGTCACCGGCGCGCCACGATAGCTCAAGGACCCTTGCGAGCCGATATGGCGGCGCACATGGGAGCGCAGAAAGAAGCGCAGGAGGAGGAGAGGCTGACAGGGGCTCTGCAACCACAGCTCCTACCCTTCTTGCAGCCGAAACGCCGCATCGCCTCAGAAAGTGAAATTCTTCTCTGTAGATACCGTAGCCACTCCAAGTACTACCAGAACCTCAGCGACGCGCAGCCGGTACAGTTTCACGAACACGTAGGACTCGAGAGCACCCCTAAGAAAGATCCTTGAACGGATTGTCTGACTCGAGGTCCGCGACGACAACGAGTTCATCCGAATTCGCTGCGTCCGTAGCCTGCCCCATCCGGTCCATGAAATTTTGTGGTTCGGTTCCATGGTGGTCGCATGTTTTGCCAGCGCGTTCCAAGAACCGATCTGCCGCACTGTGCTCCTTCGCCCACTGAGGAACCCACCTTTCGTCCTTGGGAACCCGCTTGACCTCGAAAACCGGGAACTCGGAGTCCTCGATCACTTCATCTGAGTACGTGTGTACACTCGGAAACGCTGTCGGGATGGCCTTTGCCGCGAGGTACATCCTGACCGTGCGATTCCAGACCTTGCGCCATCCAAAGACTTGCTCCTTCGCCTGCATCTTGCCCCACATCTCCCTCATCGTCGCAGCGTGGACCCAGGACGCCTCGACGTAGACGCTGCCTTCGGTCTGGCACCACTGCCTGTGGACATGCTGCTTGGGACGGCCTGCGCGACGGCGGCGATCCACCTGCAGCTCAAAGATGCAAGAGCACAAAGTCCGAAGACACGCGTACCACGCAGCGAGCGCAAGAGGCGCGGCGAGACGCCCCCTCACAAAAAATGCCGCAGACGTTCTCACAGCTCGAGAGTCCTGGCCCCAGATAGATGCCAACGCTGCCAGGTTGACACCGTGATCGGTAGTCTCGATCCGGGCCTCCTTCTCGTCAAGCTCCTCGCCACGCTGTAACTCCCGAGCACATATCGGCGCCAGATCCATCAGCCACCACTGCCCAGTTGGATGCGCCACTGGCCCCTGGACATGGGGACCGTCGACAAGCCCCGAGATATGTTCGCGAGTGCAACGGTGGTCTCAATCCCAGATTGAGCTTCCAGAGACAATGCGACAAAAACAGTCGTAGTGAAGGAGGGCGTCGAGTAGGTGGTCTCTCGTCACTTCGACCTTGTGGCTGGTTTTCCAGCGTTCGCTCATCCTGTTGTTGAAAACCTTCCTGTTTTCCTGGAGAGCTTATAGGCCTGCCTCCAGTGGGCACTGCTGTACTTTTCGTCAGGCCCAAGAAGTACCCCACCCTGCTCTGCTGGAGGTCCTTCCAGTCCTAGATCAGCTGCGCAGTGATAAATTCTCGCAACAGCCTTCATGGCCTCGGTGACAGATCCGCCCATTGGCGGGGGATTCTCGACGAAACCTTCGAGGGCGCCAGCTGCGCCGTTCAACTCGCGGAAGTTCTCCAGCCCGCGCGCGATTTCTCCTCCTCCGCCTGCTTCGCCGAGGGCCCTGACCTGGCCCGGGATGTCCTCGACGGCCTCGTTAACCTTCTCTCGCCAGCTCCACCCAAAATGTCGATCATCATCTGCTGATTTCCCCGTGGACGAGCCCATAGGTTTCTACAGATCCTCGGAAGGTCGTCGCAGCTCGCGCTGGGGAAAATGGCCAGCGCTGCAAGTGCCCAGCGAAGCAGGTTGCGGCATGGCGCCGCGACGAACTCTGACGTCGGGCGAGGACCAGAGGGATCATTGAGTTCTGGGCCCGTGCACAGCTGGAAGTATGCGTAGAGGTCGTCGTAGTCCACAGTCTCGCCTCCGTTCATTAGGTAGCCCTGCACGGTTTCGCACTCAAACGCGTTGCGCGACTCAACCAGACTCTGAGCGATGCCAAATGAAATTTGCGCCAGCAGCTGCAGCCAATTGTGGAAAGTAGGCTGTCTCGGGCACTGATTGTGCACAGCCCTCATCTCCGACGCGGGGCCCTTGAAGGTCTCGCTGAAACTCGCATTCTGAGCGGGCGGCTGAGCACGGCTCTTCGATGCCAAGTAATAGATCACATCGTCGGCAGGCCAACGTCATTTCCTCTCGAGTTCAGATGGTTCGTCCTTCATCACCTCCGCCTGTTTCATCTGGCCTTGCTTTCATCTGCAGGACCCTCTCCTTCTCCACCTTCAAAATGTAGTCCAGTGGTTGTTTGCATGCCGGTAGCAGTTCTGGTGGGGCGACGAGGCCATCCAAGGTGACCCAGGCGTGGTAGTGATCTCTGGCAGGAAAATCAAGATTCTGAACACCCTGGTAGACCACTTCTATGCGAGACCTATGCTGCGGCCCCCGCACCTCGGGCGGCACCAAGTAGACGTTCCCGAAATTCTTGCGAGGTGGGATCTCGGACTCGTCGCGGGGGACCTCCACCAAGTCGCCCACAAGGATGTACAGTCCAGTTTCTTCGCTGAGTTCCCGACTTGCCCTGCACCTGGCAGCGCAATCGAAGTCCAAGTCTCGCCTGTAAGCAACGTTCAGATCGGCACGAACAACTTGTCCTCCTGGAGTGGCGACCGCATGCGGGCAGCTCACCCTGGGGCCCCGACGCTGTCGTTGTCGTCGGGCAACAGGACGTAGACACCGACGGTCCCCACGCACTTCGGCCCCACGAGACTGGTTGATTATCCTCGGCACCCTCCTGGGCTGTCACCTTGGCGGTCTCCTGAACCGTGTTGTCAGCGAGGTAGACGTTAACGCGAGGACGCTGTGCTCCTGTCGCAGGTCTCTCGGTTCCCCTCGCCGCTGGAGAGTCGCCCTCCGGCACCTCTGAAGTCGGCTCCAGATCTTATTGCTATCCCTCTTCTGCTCCGGCCAGACCATCGGCGACGGCTTTCCTCTCGACGCAGGCCTCGCAGGGCGTCTCGCGCCGCCGCGGGGCGTTGTCGCCGTAGACGCGGCCCCCTGGCGATGCAGCAGGGTGCCCACCAAACGGCCCCTCGCCCTCTGCAACGATTTATTCCCGTCCGTCGTCGCCCCCGTTCGAGTCTCCACCCTCGTCCTCGTCGTCGCCCCCGTTCGAGTCTCCACCCTCGTCCTCGACCTCCTCGCTGTCGTCGAATTGCTCGGTCCGGCGCTTGGCCTGTCTGTTCTGCCGACGCCTCCGGCGCGTATCCCTTCTTGCTTGGATGGCCTCCTCGGTCATTGAGCCCGCGCGCGGCCGAGGTTATTCTCGGCAGGTTCTCGGACCCCCCCGGCGCGCCCACTGCTTCCTCCAGGTCCGCCTTCGCGCTGGAGTGGCCTCCCTCGTCGTTCATGGCGCGCCTGATCCAACGGGGGCGATCCCGCAGCTCTCTCTTGAAGTGGCAGTTCCAAGGGGCCCAGGCGTGGAAATTGAATAAGGATTGCGCGAGCTGGTTCGTTCTGGAACGCTGGGCGCGCTGCATCTCCGAGCGCGCCGCAAACTTGTAGAGGAAGGTCGGCAGCCCCTCAGCGTAGCCCGCGGGGCTCGCGGTCTGCGGGTCGAACGCCTTGCGCCCCAGCTCCTCGAATCGGCGCTGAGCGCATGCGAGTCCGTTATTCGCCTCGATGCGCTGCTTGGTCAGCGCTGTCTTGACCCGCTGCAAGTCGAGGTACCGATGCAACTTGACCCGTTGAATTTCAGCTCGAGACCCCATTCCCGCGCCCTGGGGCTGAGCGATCCTCTTCTTGCGGACCAGTGAACCACCTTCGGCGTCATGCATCTTCGCGAGCACCTGGTCCAGACGACCAACACTTCCAGCCTAGGGTTCCGGGTCGCCGCCGCGACGGGTGCGATGTGAGCCTTGGCGCGATAGACACGCGGCACCGACTCTGATGGATTCCACTCCCTCGGGAACTCCTCAGGCAGCTCGAGACGATGACGCAATCCTCGAGGACATTGTTGTAGTCGCCCACGCGGCGCGACTTTTTTGCTCTTCCACCTCTGCGTTCGATGATCCTATGGCAAATGCCCGCCATCTTCTTATCTCTCTTCTTCTCCGCATCAGATGACAGGGGCTCCTTGTCGGTATCCCCCCTGGCCCCTGGCCCCTGGCCGCGTAGTCCACGACGTCACTGTCGCCGCCGTCGCGCGAGATGACGCCTCTGCATCTGCTGGGTTCGAAGAGGCCCAGGGAGCGCGGACTGCGCGCGTCAGCGGCCCCGCGCTGCTCGTCGCGCAGATCTAGTTCCCACGCCATCGACGCCCATGGGGCCCTGGAAGTCTGAGTCGGGGCGAGTCTCCCCCAGTGTCCTCTGGAGGAATTCTCGGCTGGTCTCTCGCACCTCGCCTGCCCCTTGTTCTTCCTGAAGATCGCGATAGATAGAGAGACGCGCGCGGATGGCCTTCAGGGGGCGCCGCCGGCGCCGAGCTGCGGGGGGCAGCCCAGGGGTCGTCGGCTGACGCGGCCGCTGA